TATTCCCAATTGTATTTATTGTAGCTTACTGCTTTGTTAAACCATTTTGATTCAGATTAAAATGTGATTCTGCATGTACAAACTAAGCTCCGTAAGAATAGTGGCGTTTGCCTCATTACTATAGTTAAGAACGCTTTCAGACAGGAGACCAATGCTTAAAATGTGGTCTTTGGCTCAGTCCCTTGGTAGAGATGTCAGTCAGCCCTCAGCTGACAGGGGAAATGATGGGCTTGGTCATTTTCACAGATGGTTGAATGTGTTTCAGCCCCTTGTTGCTCATCTGCGTGCTGGGTTGGAGATGTTGCTTTCTGGTGTAGATTCTCTATCTGACTGGCTTGTGAATCTGTGTACCACCTGCAGTAACCAGGAGGATTTCCAGCTGGTACGGAAGCTCGGGAGGGGCAAATACAGCGAGGTCTTCGAAGCCATCAACATCAACAATAATGAGAAGGTGGTGGTCAAAATCCTCAAGGTGAGAGTTTCTATTCAGTGTGTAGTCAATATGACCTTTGACATCTTTTCATCTTACATTTGATGAAATGATGTGGTTTCTCTGAGGTAAATTTAATGTCATTTTCTTCAGAAAATGAAGGAAATCTTGGCTTGATGTAAGTTCCATGTAGATAGTTGCATGATTTTTATTGTTATTATTATTATTTTTTTTCCTCTTGAATACACTAACATAGATACACTAACATTTCAAAGTTTGGGGTTTGTAAGATTTTAAAAATATTTTTAAAAGTCTCTTATGCGTTTATTTATTCAAAAATACAGTTAAAAATAGTCATTTTGTGAAATATTATTCCAATTTAAAATAGTGTGTTTTCTATTTAAATATATTTTAAAATATAATTTATTCCTGTAATGCAAAGCTGAATTTTCAGCATCATTACTCCAGTCTTCATTGTCACATGATCCTTCAGAAATCATTCTGATATGCTGATGTTGTGCTCAAAAAACATTTCTTATTATTACCAATAAGAACAGTTGGGCTGCTTAATGTGACTGTCACGTTTGATTATTTTAATATATCCTTGCTGAATAAATGTGTTAATTTCTTAAAAAAAAAAATCTAACTCACCCCAAACTTTTGCACAGCAGAGTATATGCTTAAAAAATATAAACGCATTTAAAATATACTTTTTCTCTCTTCTGAGGAAACAAAAAGATATTGATGAAAAATGTTGCACTCTTGGGCGTGATAAAGGTTTTGGCCAATCAAATGTCTCCTGGAATGAGAATTTCCCTCCCCTTAATATTCTCACTTGCAATAGCAAACTATGTTTTTGAGGTAAACTACAGGCTATTGGCTGTTTTCAAACAGAGACAAGCCTTTTAAAATTGCTATTTCAACTTTGTTTTACCACAGACAAAAATGTGTTTATCAAGCCATGTCATGAGGTTTTTGCTGTTGTTTAATGTTGACTAGGTTTTTATATTGTTACATATTTGATTTCTATAATAGCCTGTCAAGAAAAAGAAGATCAAGAGAGAGATCAAGATCCTGGAGAACTTACGAGGAGGAACCAACATCATTCAGCTAATGGACACAGTAAAGGACCCTGTGGTACGTTGTCCATCTCTCTCCTCTTCCGTTGGCGATACTTGTCCAATCAGGGTGCACAGTTTGTCCCAGGAGGACTTTGATTTTTCCTTTTCTGAAGATTGTGGGTGGACAGCATTTGAGACAAATTGCTTTTTATAGCTTACAGATGCGAATTTGGGTTCAGGCTGGAATTAGTTGTAAGAAGTTTTTATGTCTCAAAGTTGTCAGTGAAATTACATAGAAAAAAAAAAATCAGATTGGAAATGTCACAGATTTACCGTACAAACATAAGCAACTGGTAATAGAGTGATTTCAAAGGATTATATGGACACAAATGAGATCATATGAAAATGACTGAGAAGCGTAGTAATGATTATTTAAACAGCAAATTAGATTTTACATCTGAATAATGAGTTGCAGCCAGCCATGATCCTTTTGTAGTCCTTGTGCTCCTGTTTTATTCCTGATTGCCATCACAATGACTGCTTGATGGTGTCTGTTAATGCTTACTATTGTTTTATTGGTTGATTGAAGGACTTTTTTTTCTGATTGTTCATCTCTTTTTCTCTCTGTTTTTGCGATTCCTCCCCAATCATTCTGCAGTCTCGAACACCTGCGCTTGTCTTTGAATGCATCAATAACACAGATTTTAAGGTATATTCTATTTAAGGTTGTCTGTCTGTCTATCTATTTATCTGTCTGTCTGTCGTTTGTCTGTCTATCAATCTGTATATCTGTCTGTCTGTGTGTCTGTCTTATCAATCTGTCCGTCCGTCCATCTATCCATCTATCCATCTATCTGTCTATCTATCTATCTATTCTATCTATCTATCTATA